GAGCATCTCTGGAGTCGTTTTTTTTTTCCCTTAGTAGCGCGTGGCGTGTAGGCCCGAATCCGTTTGTTTTGCGAATCCCCGGAATGTTTACGGTTTTCTTCAACGTTTCTTCCGCGTTTGGGCATTGATGGTGAAAATGCCCGTAGCTGAAAGTGTAAATGGTCTTCGGTATAAGTGCATCACGATTGGACAAAAGAGCTGACTCGAAAATGCCCCCATGTACTTGATCGGTGAAACTCGTTGCTTCGAATGAAGGAATTAAAAAAACTCGAGAGAGAGAGAGAGAGAAAAAGCGTGCCGCCCTTGGAATGGAGCCCCGACGGTCCGGAGGTATTCCTTTTGAAAGGGTGATTGGCACCGAGTGGGAGAAGTACGCGACACTTGTCCTCGTCGCCGTGGCCATCAGGAAGGATGCGGTGCGGATCAGGCGCGTTGATCGAGTTAAGCCGTGCACAATAAGGTGCTATTATATCGTTGCATTGTCCGGCCTTTTTCTTCGTTAGCTACATACACATACATCCAACGCGCAGATCTTACACTTATGAACAATTCTTGACTAGCATCACTGTATAAGATGTACGTACATCATGTCGAACATAATATGAGGAAATCCACAAAAAATGTCACGTTTTTGTCCTCGATTTTAATTAAAAAACATTTTTGTTAACCGCACCCTTGAAACCGAGCTCATGTTACTCGTAGTGTGATTTATCTATGAGGAAAAATTTTCAAACACGAGGTTTAGTGAGGGTGACACCCTTTTTCCTCAACAATAAAATTTTTTTTAGGGGGGGGGGCAAAAACGGGATGTTTTTTGTGGATTGCCTCATATGTATTTTGCACTGTATAGTCGTTTTATCATAGGCACATACATAGGTATATGTATAATATAGACTGTGCCTTTTTAAAGATTCGTTTCTTGAGAGGGCGCTATATATATAGGTAGGGGGTTTTTGCGGAGCTCAACGAGTCATGAACGCAATGAGAAACGAGAGTCGATTTTATTATTATTATTATTATTATTATTATTATTATTATTATTACCATCATCGTCTCTCTCTCTTCTTTCATATTCTACTTTTATATTCGACGAACGACGGTCGAGGTGATTTCTACTCGCCGTGAATTGATAATGGCCAAAATGGAACACTTCAATGGCAATGAGGCGGAATTTCAGCCGTGGAGCGTCGATTGGTTGGTGATTAAATCAATCATACAATTTTTTAATCACCAACAAATTTGGATTAAAATTAAAAAAAAAAAAAAAAAAAATTATTTATATTAGCATCGAGGGCAGAGCACGGGCCATTTTGATAGAATAAAATTATGGCATCCTGCTCGCTAGTTGGCAATAAAAGTGGCACAGCTAGTATAAATCGATCGATTAATAACGCAATGTCTCGAGTATTGTTGATGGTGTGTGAGAATGGTACTTTTCGTCATGAAAGTGCCACCGCCTCCGGGGCTGTTTCGCAGCAAGCAGGCCATTAATTAAATTTCCTACCTCGGGCGTTTTTGAGGATCAGGTAGGAAAAATAGTGTCCGTCACATAAGCGCCGTCGGACCGCAACCAGTATACCTTACGTCCCTCGGGCAGCAAAATAGCCCCGGAGGCGATGGCACTTTCGTGACGAAAACTACCATTAAATTCTGACAATTATCGTAATTGTCCGACGAAGTATACATTAAGACGACGGATAATTGTGCTTTCCACGTTATTTTGGAAAACATAATCTGTAAAACTTAATGATGAAGAGCCGCATCCTCCGCAAGTGAGCGAAAAATTATCCTCTGCGCAATAAAAGTAGTGTGAAAAATCAATTTTCAATAAATGACAATACATCATCATTGAAAAATATATTTATATATCCTGCAAAAAAAAAACCCACAAACCAAACACCTCGGCCCCCTCAAACGAGCCGGATAATTAACGATGCCGAGCTTACGATCCATCCGAAATTTTCCTCACCCACACCCCCCTGTTACATTCCTCGCGCGCACCCGAAAACGCATGGATATATTTTCATGACTCGGCAAAAGCTTATGGGGATCTCGGCTGAGTCGGCTAAAAATAGCGCCGATCCTATGCATGTACATACACGCGCCCCGCGCCTCTTCTCTTTACACAAAAGCCCTCTCGTTTATAAATATATATACTACCACATAAGTGGGGAGAGGGGGGGGGAGACAAGGGCGAAGGTTAAGGCAACGATCGTTTACACTCTCTCGCTCGGGTGGGTGTTCGCCGCGCCTACGCGCGTATTTATACATATACGTATATAAACGACGGGCGCGATGATGATAAACAGGCCACTGTCAATGTTGAACGATTCGAACGAGAATGCGGCCATTGTCTCGCACTTATGCGGGAGTATTGTACCCACAGCGATGTATAATATATAATGGCTTCCTCTGCTTCCCTGTACTCGTTCGTGGAACTTAATTGCCGGCGGTTCGTGCAGTACCGATTGGATGACTATGGCCAACGATCGCTTGGAAAATCGGCAAAGGTTTTGTTGCCTTTTTTTTTTTTTTTTTTTTTTTCTTTTCACTCGTTATTGATGGGTAGGCGTGGAAAAAACGTTTAGCCGAAGATTTTATCAGTGTATAGGATTGGATGTTGCTGGAGCGTCACTGTTCATTATCGTTTGGGTATTTGTTGAATCGCATCCGATTCCCAATCCGATGCAACAAGTATATTATATGAAATACGCTTACTTGGTTCCATTCGTTTTTCAATCATAATATATCGGTAATGAATATGGGTGCATCCGTGTAATGTTACGGTATTTATGAGTCACCGAAGTTGTAAGAATTTCGAATTATTGATTTTTCACACTATCGTGTAAAGAGAATCTCTCATATACTGCTGAAATAAAATAAAAATATTAGTAAAAACTGTACAGATACTTGCTAGTTAATAATCTTTTAGAATTGTGAAAATGCTCGAGGTAGCAGTGTAGTGAAACTATTTTTTTCTTTTTTTTTTTTTTTCGTTAAGACTTTGAGTATACATGTTCTCGAGGGTCAACTATCTTAATATTTTTAAAATTGCAAAAGGCTCAGCCATATCATATTCGAGACATTTGTTGAATATTGGAGAGTTTAGAAAATATTGCACCAGATTTAGTTTTTCGGTAATAATTGTAAATACCAACGGAATTTTATACTATGTGACGTTATATCCTTATCAGTCATCACTATCGTTATCGTCCCGTTCATTTTTACACTGGAACATTTACATAATTTATCCATTGGTTCAATATTTGGTTTCTCAAAAAATATATGAGTCACGCATTAGGGTCTACTTAAATTTGTTTCCCAACTTCTGTTAAAAGTCAATTANAGAAAAAAATGAAGTGTTCAGCAATCGCCTGACATTGGAAAGTTAATTCTCAAAACCACATAATAGGTGACAAGTACTGCACCACATTTAGTTTTTTTTCCAGTGCTAGGAGTTATAAGTTTCATCCTGATATAGATTAGCAATAGCAAAAACACCGCAAGTACTTAACCGAACGACACCCTCGTGACGAAAGCCGAGGCTTCCCCAAAAACAAAAATGCACGTCCCGCGTGAAAAGTACATTCCTCGAGTCCCAATCGGTAATTTATACTCTCGCAGCCTCCGCATGCCATTTTCAAAACATACCGATTTTTTCGCTCCGCTTCAGAGAAAACAATGTGCTTTTCGTCGCGCCCTCCAATCAACTGGACGCGGTCGCTCGACTCTTCCTTCCGTTGCTCGTTTGCTTCACCAAAATATGGACCTTTGTTTGACCAATGGACCCTCAAAATGCCCCTCGCGCTGCCATAAATCTACTGACTAAACCTCCAAGAAGTGGATATTCATCCGTGGGTTTTATTAATACCATCAAAGCTTTGGTCGACGCACACCTAAATGTTGTACTTACACGCCCTTTTAATTGTACTAATATCACTTTGTGCATGACTCACCGATCCATACATGAGCGAAAAAGGCTTCCCTCGATTCCCCTCTTGTATCCTCTTTTTTCTCATTTTACTTGAGTCACGCGTACAACTTTTTTTTTTTTTTCACGCAGATTCACTTTTGGCTCGATCGTTTGGTTTGCAATTGTCAAGTTGGCTCACTTGTACACTTTTCAATTTCCTTTTTCAATTAACGCGTTTCTCGCTTAAATAAATCTCGTGGACGTTTTTGCGGTCGCGCCGCAAACCGAAAACTATTGCTGTTAAGCTAAATTACATTATATATTTTCCACGTTGTATGACAACAAAGAGTTTCCTTTTCTCAGTAAGCATGTGTGTGGATATCATGTCGTATACAACTCTCTGTTTACACCGAAAAGTCGAAGAAACGGCCCAAGCCGCTCTCATGAGTTGAACTATTCTATATTTCTCTCATAGGTATTTAAACGAGCATAGTCGCTTGAAACTTGCAGAGCATTTTGGAAAGTGTGACTATACAGTTCAACTTGAAGAAGCACGAGACTCGTATCAAGAGCATAGAGAGTTAGCTGATATTTTTTTGATTTTTTGTTTCATTTCGTAAGTGTATTCATAGTTGTTAGTTTATAGTAAAAAAAATACAAAACTTTGTTGTTTTTGTTCCAATCTCTTGATAAAAATCTTTGGTATCAGGTACTCGTAGACTTCGGCTGTGGAAAATGGCGTTATACGTTAAGCAGAAAAACAAGTGCATCACCCTCCAAGGCTCTGCAGCAATGGTTCGCGAATTCCTGGGTGACTATTTTTTTTTCTACAATCTGTTATTTTATCAATACTCCACTTTCTTACTTAATATATTATTTTTATCATGTTACAATGCACAGAATATGGAATGTCCAGTATTCTGTACCAAAGAGAAGTGTGTCCCGCTGATGATTTCCAGCAAACAAAGTATCACGGGCTCAATTTGTTCAAAGTGAAAAATGAGAAAAACTTTAAAAAATTTGCTGGTGACCTTGGAGACATTGAAAATTNTACACAACAGAACTTGGAATGTCCAGTATTCTGTACCAAAGAGAAGTGTGTCCCGCTGATGATTTCCAGCAAACAAAGTATCACGGGCTCAATTTGTTCAAAGTGAAAAATGAGCATCACTTTGACAAATTTGCTGGTGCCCTTGGAGACATTGAAATTTTCCTGGTGAAAAAAGAAGTGGCCAGTGTTACTTTGGCCCTTATAAATGTAGACACGAGGGAATACCTCGAAAAGTGGACATTCGAGATTACCTACGAAGACGAGTCAGATGGTGGTTCCCAGGACCACAGCTCCTCCTCTTGTGGGACAAAAGATACCGAGACCATCCAAAGAGAGATACGTGCTGTGATAAAACAAATTTTGGGTAAATTTTTATTTTCATTTTGGCTAGATTTATTCCATTTTACCATGTAAACCATTATTTCTACCTATGTAGGCGTGGTAACCATATTGCCTTTTTTGGACGAAAACAAAATTGTTTATTCCATCCAGGCTACACCAAGACCAGGAGTACCTTTGTGGGACGGCTGGTATCCGATTACAGAGGACACCAGCATTAAAAATCAGGAAGATATAAAGCTTAAAGACTTTTCGACATCCATTCATGGAGTCCATACTATTGTGCAATATAAAAAAGCCTAAGAGTGCCAATTAGTTAACCTTCAGGTGGCATAGAAAAGTTTTTTCTTTTTTCTGTAAACAAAATTTAATCGCTTATGAAAAGTAATGTTGAAATACGGAAGAATACAAACATTTTTTTTTATTTTCATCGGGTCGGTCCTATGGATTATCGGAAAACTTGATACGAATTTTTTGTTTGTTTTTTTTTTACATCAACAATAAATAACCGATAAAGATCGAGCTCTTCAAAGTTAAAAGTGACGTCGCTTTGTAATAAAATTATTTCATTTGAAATGCATGTACATACACTGTTGTGACATATCACTTTGTTCTTCGAGTAACTGTTTTTTGTTGATGTAAAAAAATAAAATTATACGTTGCCAACAATTTCGATAATCTACCTGACTGATCTTATGGATTTTTCAGATTCTTCACAATTGAAGTTCTTACTTTCACTTTATCGCATAGTTTTTTTATTATTATTATTATTATTATTATTATTATTTTTATTTTCAAAGTATGCTATAAGCCATACTTGCATTTTCTACGTACAATGAAATTTATTTAATTATCTACCTTACTTATCATGTTATAAAGGAGCGAGACGTTTACAGTGGAGTTTTCATTTGATTACTTGCTTCAATTATTTGCAAAAAAATACATGTTTGTACAAATACAATTGTTTGATAAGCTGTGCTACACATAAGACTCACGTACAACTGAAGTTGAAATTCGAGTTTAGCGCAATAATGTATTTATTGTAATGTATAAATAATAATTAAATGTAAATTGTGCAATCACTGTACTCCCAAGACATTTTCGATTCATTGATTTATTGACTCTCGATTGATTTAATTAGCACAAAGCTTTTGTATCATTTGAAAATTGAATTTATAACATAATCCATCACGTATTTACAAAAGTTTTAAAACTACAAAATTGTACTGTATCTTACAATCTATTGTCAAAGAGGGAGATTGTGGAGCATTTGAGTTCATGTGTGAGTGTACAATAACATCAATACATGTGTTCGAACACTTGATGTTTACACCAAAGAAACAGCTCGACGCTCGAAAGTATCGAACTATACTTACCTGTACACAGTTTGTCCTCGTATTTCCCAAGTATAACACGCGTATAAACAACCTTTCAAAGTCAGAGGGTCTACGTATATGAAATACAGTAAGTTTGACCAAAATAAGGCTCGCAACTGAAAACTACAATTTTGTTGCTGTATTTTATTTGTTCTTTAAATTTCGTAAGTGAATAGTCACTTTTTGATTCATTCATTGGTAGTAATACAAAAAGTTTACGAAAATTCAGCACAGTGTTTTTGTTACGATTATTTAAAGAAACCAGGTTGCCCTAACTATCAAAAAATGGCGTACGTTAAGCAGAAAAACAAGTGCATCACCCTCCAAGGCTCCGCAGCGATGGTCCGCGAATACATAGGTAAGCCATCGGTTTCCTATCCCAATTTCATCATCAATGTTTTACTTTTTTCGTTTCTCTATACACAACAGAACTTGGAATGTCCAGTATTCTGTACCAAAGAGAAGTGTGTCCCGCTGATGATTTCCAGCAAACAAAGTATCACGGGCTCAATTTGTTCAAAGTGAAAAATGAGAAAAACTTTAAAAAATTTGCTGGTGACCTTGGAGACATTGAAAATTTCCTGGCGAAAAAAGAAGTGGCCAGTGTTACGTTGGCCCTTATAAATGTAGACACGAGGGAATACCTCGAAAAGTGGACATTCGAGATTACCTACGAAGACGAGTCAGGTGGTGGTTCCCAGGACCACAGCTCCTCCTCTTGTGGGACAAAAGATACCGAGGCCATCCAAAGAGAGATACGTGCTGTGATAAAACAAATTTTAAGTAAGTGTTGATCGTCCATTTGGAGGGATTTACGTGTATTATTGAATTTTATGTGTGAATTAACATTATTTGCAGGTGCGAATTCCATACTGCCGTTGCTGGTGGAAAATAATGTTGTTTACGAAATCCAAGCGCAAGAAAGGCCAGGAGTACCTTTGTGGGGCGGCTGGACAGTAGTGTCGGAGGACACTGGCATCGAGAACCAAGAAAAAATTGAGTTCAGAGACCTATCGACATCCGTTCATGGGGTTCATACCGAAGTGTTGTATAAAAATGCCTAAACATCGATAAATCTTGGTATTAAAATATAAAATATTTCATATATTATTTGTTGAACTTTCATTTTTTTTTTTTTTTTTTTTTTTCCTTCTTTTTTTTATTCAAGAGTATAAGATTTTATTTAAAAAGTTTTTGTTTCGATTGTTATTTTTTTCTTCAGCAACTTTTGTTAACTGCAGTGTACTCGGTTCATAAGAAATTATCGTTAAAATGCAGTTTTATTTGATCTGTACGAAAACAAACAATAAAGTTTAAGTATATTAAAAAAGAAAAAAAAAAAAAATAATAATTCGAAGACGTAAGCGTAAAAATATCAAGGGCATAAATCTTTATGACGGAAAGGAGTTTGTTTTAAAATTCAACAGCACATCAACACGTCTATTTTATTTCCAATTGTAAATAAAATTTCATCTTACCTTTGTAATGAAAAAAAAAAAAAAAAAGTCCAAGGGAAATAATCCGAGACGTGGCTTCCTTTCCATCGAATCCAAGATAAATCGCCCCGTTTTCCTGACCCGTCACTCCCGAGCTGCAAGCGATACGATATTTCGCTCCGATACGCGAAAACGCCCAGCCCTACACTTCTTAAACTGTATCCGGTGCGCGTCTTTTTTCACGCAAAGCATCGGCCTCCAATTAACCATTATTTCTCGTGCTCGCGATCCCGTTCATTAATCTCGAATGAGCAGAAAAAAAAAAAAAAAGGCCAAAACGAAATATTCGCGGTAGCCAACGAGACCACCTCCCCGACACGGAAAATAAAAAGCAAAGGCCACCGCCGCGTGTGTGTATAAAATATACGCGCGTACATGTAACATAATCGTCGGACATGAAAATCCCAAAGGGGGTGTAGTTAATAAGTCGATTGGAGCGGGTTTTGCGTAGGAAAGGAAAAAAGGAAGGGAATCGATTGGCCTTCTTCTTCTTCTTCTTCTTCTTTTTTCCGTGCGTCGCGCGATGAGTCACAGGAGCCCTCCGATAGTAATCTCGGGAACGCGTCGCCCCTCGCGCGCTCTTCAATCGCGACTTATATATTTACGTTTTTTTTTTTTTTTTTTTTTTTTTTGTTTTTTCACAAAAGTTACCATATAGGTACGTCCGAGAGTGCGCTGTGCTTGTAATTGTGCTGTATATATTGCACACCCTTCGTACACATGCGTGTTGCGAGGGGCTTTTTTTTTTTTTCTCTTTACGCTGCAGCGAATAACTTACGCATAAAGCCCATCCTCTTCAAACTCAGTGTTTGCACGTACACGCATTGTGCCAAGGGCCGTTTGTATTAAACCCTTGAAAAATTTAATTTGTACCCATTTAAACATGTACGATCGTTTGAGTTTACACAGGTGCGGGGAAAACAAAATTAGGGGGGGGGGTGGTGAAGTTTTGGCAACCAAAGTCTTCCACGGCAACCATACTGCGCAGATGGTGGAGGGGTACAAGGGCGCAAGTTCTTGATGGACAAAAACAACAAAGTAGAAGAGGAAACGAGAAAAACAGCGAGAAATGTAAGGGGGAGGATGAGCGGAGAAACCGGTCGGGGCGAGCCGCACGTGCGCGTGTATTATATATATAAAAGTCGAATCGGTAGAGATAGAGACCGGATTTTCTTCTATACACGCTTATTCCTGCCATATAGAGGTACACACACGGATATCATACATAGATATTATACTCGCAAGCAGTGTGTATCATCTTCTTACTAGTCGGGGGGGGGGGAAGACGCTCTCGCCCGAGTAATGCCCGATTGATTGGCTCGAGGTACACGTAGATGTATATTTTATTGAGAAATCGAGAGCAAACTTTACCGAACGACGGCCTACACGCACTGGTGTGGGAAAGATTTTGCGCTCTCGTATACGCGGTACGGGAGGGGGGGGGGTTGGGTTTCAGGCCGAGGTAGAGTTATTTGCGGTTAATTTGTCGAGCGCGAATCTTTATGCGCGTGTACACGGACATAATAACCGCGGTCATTTTTACCGTGAAATTGAGGTATACTCATTCGAGACGACGGTAAATATACGCATGATAAATCGTCACCCTTGTGTATAAGCTATTAGGGTTATTATTTTTACCGTATAGGGTAACGATGATATTATTGTCCAACTTCTTTTCTTCGATGACCATCTGCAATGAGATAATGATTATTGATAATGTTTGACAACGATGGCCAAAAAGTTCAGTCATCGTTTCAATAATCATAATATTTCTTAATTCACTCGTGCGTCAATTTACCGGTAATTGTTTATTAGCATGTGCTTCACGTGGTACCCCCTAAGCCATAAAATTCAATTGCTCGAGTGAAAAATAATGGCAATTATGCAAAGCAATCAATGCGGAGAATGTCGTCAAATTCATTAAATAGTCATCAATTGTTTAATACGTACACTCAAAGCCCATTTGTAGCTTGTATGCTTGTATTGTTAAAAAACTGTAATGAAATGAATCTGGGACTTCAGGATACAATAATATCCCTCCTCTAAAAATCGGATGAAAAATTATTTTGTTCCATAGCCTCGTATCCAAGATCGAGTTCTTCTCCCTCATAATTTTCATGGATTTTTTTTTTTCCCACCGATGATGACCGTCCTTTTTTTTTTCTCAATACACGATGAAACGATTAATTCCCACCCAATGTTCGGCGCGAACGTATATACCTGTCGTTAAAAAAAAAGGAATGATGGGCACGTATATAATATGGAGTCTGTGCGGGGCCGTATACACAAAATAAACGTATGTACAGCGCGGCCGAAAGATGGTAACTTACCCGATCCGCTTTTTCTCTCCTCTCTGGCACTCGTTCTTGGAAGCTTTCGAAGGTGAACGAGATTAGGTAAGAGCAGACCGGCCACTAGAAGTCATGAACAAGGAGAAGCTGACGAAGCGACGAATGCTCTCTCTCTCTCTGCTTCGCCAAGCGACAGGTTTGAGTATAATCCCTGTGTGTCAAGAGAGATTTGGCGATATGAATATATGTATAGGCCTACGCGAGCGTTGGATTTCTTTGCTGAAAATTTGTGCATGACAGTATATTTCATTCAGCAGATGATGGAGTTACGTGCACGTGTATACAAATAAAATGTGCATTGAAAATCAGATTTTTTTTTATCTTTCAATAAAATACCGTCTTTATTATCGAGTGATCCAAGCATTGCCATTATTCATAAAGTTTTCATTTGACGAATTCGCAATCATACGACTGCTCGTACAATACTAGTGAAACTCTTTTTTTTTTTTTTTCCACATCGATTCGCACAGGAATTAACATTTATTTGTCTCGTGACAATAAAAGGCATATTTATAAGATCTTTACATCCATGAGCAAATCATTACGAAATTTTATTATTGTTGTACTTCATTTTATTGTTGCTTAGTCATTTTCCGATAACTATGATGCATTTGATGGTTTCCGAAACATGATAAACATTAGTAATAAAAAATTTACGACATATCTATATAACTGAGCTAAAACATTAACGACACTTTTTTAAGTAAAAAAAATATTATAATTTCAACTTGATGAAAGACAACAACGACCATCTTTCCGACTTATATGGGGAATCGTTCACTTATTTTCTAAGTGACATACACATTGTAAATGGAATATGTTTAAGATCGATAAATTGTGTAACAATTGTTTTAGCATCGCGTTTCGAAACAGAAAAATATAGAAAATAATAACAAAACACGGCGTGTACACACTGCTTGTATCTCTCTCAGTAGAGCGTCGGTTCAAGCTCGTCATGAAATCAGAACGAGCGCAGCCACTCGAGCTTCATTTGCAAGTTGATGTGCATCGTGTTTTTTTTTTTTTTTTTTTTTTTCGCAACACAATACATCCGCTTCCGTAGTTCCGCGCACCCGTGCACACACCATAACACAACAAAAAACCGGGCGCTGCTTTGTCGCCCGGAAAATATACGCGAGGGAAAATTCTAGTCTGCACTTCCTATAATGTTACATTTTCCGCCCTCGGGTGGTTTTGGGAGGCTGGTACTTCCTCGGGCGAAAAAGCAGTTTTCCGGAACTCGTTCGAAAAGTCTCCTTTACGAACGTCGTTACGTCCCTCGCCTTCGGCTCGGGCCGCAAACCTCTCGGTTCGCAAACAGAGACTTTTCAAACTCGTAGGAAAACTACTATTTTGTTTTTGTTTTTCTACGTATAGATAACTCAAAAGATTATATTCAGATTCGCTCGATAAGTTGTTTTCGTGTACTAGCAGTATGCCAATAACCCAAAACTCTATGCGAGCTTGCAAGCTCTCAAAAGCTGGGCAAGTTGATTTTTGGTTCGCAAAAACAACGCAAAGTGGCGCTGACATCCCATCCCTTATCCTAACCTAACCTTAATGTAAGAAATCGTCGGTGCCCGGTATTACTAAATCTACCGCTTGGCAGGCTGACAGCAAGAATATGGTGTTAAATCTATCATTACAATTAACAACTTTAAATTCTTTTGAGTCTAAAAAATCGTAATACTTGAATAAGTGAGTAAAGTTGGAAGGTTTTAAACAATGGCGTGTGTTAAACAGAAACAAAATGTATCATTTTACAAGGCTCAGCTGACGTCGTCCGCCAGTACCTTGGTACATCCTTTTCAATTTTTTTTTTTTTTTTTTTTTTTGTGACAGCATAATAATTTCGTTCCTCATTCGTATGATTTTTTGCAATAGAGTATGGCATGACACATTATTTATCAAAGACATGTCTGTTCAGCAAATGATTTCGAGCATTTCAATTTTTATGGACTCGATTTGTACTGCAGAGCCAATTATAAAGAGCCCACTGAGCCATATTTACGTCATATCCTAGGACATATTAAAAATTTCTTGATTAGAAAAGAAGTAGCTTAGGTCGAGTTGGTACTGCTAAAGTAGGGAACGAGAGGAGACTATCTCGAAAAGTGGAGGTTTGAAATTACCTACGAAAACGAGTCGGGTGGTGGTTACCAGAATGACAGCTTCTCTTGTGGGACAAAAGATACCGAAGCCGTTCGAAAAGAAATACGTGCTGTGATAAAGCAAATTTTGGGTAAATTTTAATCGATTCTTATTCTACCTAGATTTACTTCATATCTAATACATAAACAACACTTGTGTG